TATAATATACTAATTTTATTATTTATTATTAAATTATCATGAAAAATATAAAGATACTATTTTATATTAAAAATTTATGTATCAATATGAATAATAACTGATAAATGATAATTAAAAAGTTTAAAAAGTAAGAAAAAACATTTATTTATCAATTTTTTTCATTATTCAACACCAACAAAAATTACATTTCACAATCTTTAATAAAATTAAAAAATAAATTTTGATATTTTATAAAAATCATAAAATATATTGTAAAAAGACTATTTTTTTATAGAGAAATTATATTATAATAACTATGAAAGAGAGTATTATGTTACTGATATTGAATTGATACATTGTATTACCTTATCTTTATCAAATCTAAATTTGAATACAAACATGAAAACTTCTCACGTGCTAAACTCATGAATTGGATTCAATGAATATAGACGTTTATATTAGGTTCATTGAACGTGGTCATCTAAACAGAAGAAAACATCAGAGAACATTCTTCACTAGATCCGAGTTACTTGCATAAAAATAAAAGGAAAAAAGAAAAAGAAGTCACTCATTCAACTCAACACAAGCACAATGCCCAATTTCCACGTCGCAGCCAATAGAAATAGAAATAAAAATGTGTAACAATGACCAAAATATGTCGAAGAGGCCCAAGAGTAACCATGACGGGCCCACGTTTTACTGTGGTGGTTTGTGGTCCACACTTAAACTGGAACTGACCGTCCATTCCAAACACGAAGAGCCCACTCACTTTCTGTTTCTAATATAGATAATTATATATTATATATTTTTATATTTCATTTTTTATCTATGAAGAGTTATTGTATAATTGACTAGAAAAGAATTTTAAATAGTTATAGATTTAGTCTTATCAACAATCAATAATTAATAAAAAGACACATTAGAATATATTTTTATCATTAAAATTACAATATCTGTATCAGAAATTTGAACTTAAAATGCTTATGGATTGCTCGGCCAAAAATTTTAATTTTTCTATTACTTTAGAAAATTTATTTTTATAAAATAATAATAATAATAATAATAATAATAATTAGGTGTTGTGTAAGTAAAAAAAAAAAAGATTAATTACAATAAGAAAGACAAATATAGTAAAATCAACTATAAAATTAAACTTTTCATAAACATATTAAATATAAAATAATTTATATAACATATATATGAATGTAATTATAATTCATTTTTTATAATCTTTGAATAACGTTTTTTTTTCACCTTGTAGAGCTGAGATGAGCCTGTTGAATCTACAAAAGAAAAAAAAAGAAATAGATAGATAGATAAATTAAAGAAAAGAAAATTGACAAAGAGTATGTTTAAATTATATGAGTTTTTGAGAAATTTTATATTAAAAATAAAGATCTTTTAATAAAAAAAATTATTATTATTTTTATTTGTATCCAAATAAATTCAGATGTTAAAACTTGTCGCTTTCTGGTTAATGTATCAAGCTTTTGCCTAGTTACCTTATTCTTCAAAATCTACTACCATTGTTTCGCATTGATTCAAAACTTTTAAAATAAAACTAATTAAAAATGTAATAATTGACAAATTTATTTTTTAATCAAATATTAAAACTTTTTATTTCAATTTAGTTTGCTTTCTAATAAATACTATTATCTTGAAGTATAATATTTAAGATACATTTATAAAAAATAAGAAATTGTTTTTATAAAAATAACCCGAAACAAATACTATTATCTTGGAGTCATTTCATTTCTTAAAATTCGTGAAAACATTTCGCAATATTAAATGGAAGGAGTAAGTTTAGGCATTTCGCAATCAATGAAGTGGTGAAATCATAATGTAAATAAATAAAACATTAAAAATATTTAAAAAAATATTTGTAAAATATTTTTTCATTAAAATAATAAATCCTTTCAATTCCAAAGAAAGAAAGATGAACAAAAGAAGATTTTTTTTCTTTTTTTTTTTTTTGACCGTCCATTCCAAACACGAAGAGCCCACTCACTTTCTGTTTCTAATATAGATAATTATATATTATATATTTTTATATTTCATTTTTTATCTATGAAGAGTTATTGTATAATTGACTAGAAAAGAATTTTAAATAGTTATAGATTTAGTCTTATCAACAATCAATAATTAATAAAAAGACACATTAGAATATATTTTTATCATTAAAATTACAATATCTGTATCAGAAATTTGAACTTAAAATGCTTATGGATTGCTCGGCCAAAAATTTTAATTTTTCTATTACTTTAGAAAATTTATTTTTATAAAATAATAATAATAATAATAATAATAATAATTAGGTGTTGTGTAAGTAAAAAAAAAAAAGATTAATTACAATAAGAAAGACAAATATAGTAAAATCAACTATAAAATTAAACTTTTCATAAACATATTAAATATAAAATAATTTATATAACATATATATGAATGTAATTATAATTCATTTTTTATAATCTTTGAATAACGTTTTTTTTTCACCTTGTAGAGCTGAGATGAGCCTGTTGAATCTACAAAAGAAAAAAAAAGAAATAGATAGATAGATAAATTAAAGAAAAGAAAATTGACAAAGAGTATGTTTAAATTATATGAGTTTTTGAGAAATTTTATATTAAAAATAAAGATCTTTTAATAAAAAAAATTATTATTATTTTTATTTGTATCCAAATAAATTCAGATGTTAAAACTTGTCGCTTTCTGGTTAATGTATCAAGCTTTTGCCTAGTTACCTTATTCTTCAAAATCTACTACCATTGTTTCGCATTGATTCAAAACTTTTAAAATAAAACTAATTAAAAATGTAATAATTGACAAATTTATTTTTTAATCAAATATTAAAACTTTTTATTTCAATTTAGTTTGCTTTCTAATAAATACTATTATCTTGAAGTATAATATTTAAGATACATTTATAAAAAATAAGAAATTGTTTTTATAAAAATAACCCGAAACAAATACTATTATCTTGGAGTCATTTCATTTCTTAAAATTCGTGAAAACATTTCGCAATATTAAATGGAAGGAGTAAGTTTAGGCATTTCGCAATCAATGAAGTGGTGAAATCATAATGTAAATAAATAAAACATTAAAAATATTTAAAAAAATATTTGTAAAATATTTTTTCATTAAAATAATAAATCCTTTCAATTCCAAAGAAAGAAAGATGAACAAAAGAAGATTTTTTTTCTTTTTTTTTTTTTTTATGAGAAACGCTTAATCATATCTGTACACATTTGGCAGAGATAGCAGCAGAATTCATGCATCCATGTATATTTAATGCGACTTGTACTTTTAATATCAAAACATAATATTTTCTATGGTGCTCAAATCAACAAATTAATATGTAATTTTTTTTATTAAGGATGTAAATAAATAACTCGGATCTTAAATATAAACTTATGATGTAAACCGTTTAAAATCTTTTTATTTATTTATTTAATAAAAATGTCAAATTTAAACTTTTAAAAAATTTATTTATTTAAAAATATTATATTTAAATTTATAAAAAAAATTTAGACCTAATAAATTAAAAT